GTGCCAAAACTCGACGGTGTAAACCATCGCTTTGGCATTTCTCGGTGGAGACCAGGCGAAGGAGGCGTCGACGTGAGTGAGTTAAAAATAGATGAGGCCGTCGATGCTTGAATGTAGATGTAGCACGAGACAAATGAACTATGGAAAGTCTCACTAAAGGCGCAACAGCAAAAGTCAGGAGAGCAAAAGGTTATGAGAGCAGGCGCACTCACCTGAACGCTGCCCAAGACAATTCATCACCAGAACTCCTTCCTCTTATCCCGGATCTCCTTGACAAGACGTGTCTTCTCTCCCCACCTCGCACGATAGTGCTCATGCAGCGCGTCCCTCTTCGCCAATGCAATGCGCCGTTGAGTCTTCTCCAGCGGTGCCATCATCCGCACGAACATGTTCGTGCAGTTAAACCGCTTCGCAAGCTCGCCCGTCGTCCACTTCGCCGGATCCTCCGCCCTCAGCTCCCTCATTTTCGCGATGTCCCCGTCGGACATCCGTGGGGGCTCCGGCTTCTTGACAGCCAGAGCAGGAGGTAATGGTGCTCCTCCGCTAGACGCCGCTTGACTTAACAAAGGCGACGAAGGTGCGGTGGTGAACGATTCTGGGGAGGCGGCGGAGGGCGGTGGACGGTGGATGAACGTCAGTTCGCCCGGGAGGTTTTGGTAGGCTGCATGCGGGTTTTCCTTGAGTGGGTCTTTGACTTTGGAGCGCGGCCGTTGTGGCAAGCGCGATGCATAGCCCCGAGTAAGAGCAGGGCGTATTGGCAGTCGTGCCTTGAACATCGTTGAGAGTGAAGAGGACGGCGAGTGCGAATGCAAGCGACGTTCCGGCTGAAGGACCTCGGACACTTCCCTTTATCAAGCGCCCTTCGTCGAGGATGAGCACCTACGGACTACCACCATGGACTCAAGCTCTATCGTGTCCTCAACAGGGCTCTCAAAGCTCACAGTGCCGCAGCTGAAGGCAATATGCAAAGACAGGAAGCTGACCGGATATTCTAAGCTCGCGAAGAACGCCCTGCTAGAGAAATTGGCAGAAGCGGGCGTAGTCTCTCCTCTACCTCAGCCAGGGACGTTGACTAGTACGCCATCTAACTCTGCTCCAGCGGCCTCAATTGTATGCGCAAAGAATGACAACGGAATTCGCTCTCGGGCTGAGCCCAATGGACGCGTCGGACTCACTTCGCAGGACCCAGGACAGGCTACGGGCTCGAACTCACAGGCTAGCGAATGTGGTTTACGGAACGCTTCTCAGCCCCAAACGATGTCGCAGACTCGAGAAGATGTAACGGAAACCGCTTTGGGTTCCCCACTGCTGACGTCCACGGAACCTCGGTCTAGTGCCGTCGATGGGATTCTCAGATCTCGACAAGCTCTGGCTAGAACTATGACAAACAGTCGTCCCGAGCATAAATCGAATAATGTACTCGAAGCCTCTTCGAAAACACCTGGTGAACTGAGTATATGCGCCCGACATAAATTGGAACCCTTGGAAACTATACCGCCTCCCAATCAAGCCCTTTCTTCCGAGTTGGAACAACGCAAACCACGCAAAAGACCTGCTGAGATCACGACGGAGAATACGCCCGCGAAACAGCGAAAGACAACTCAACCAGTCCCAGTCCCGAAGAACATTGTGGTTACCAAACCTTCGCCGTCGATCCGGACGCCTCGATCGCAGAATCAGCTACAGCAAGCGCAGCATTCATATTCTCAGCTCGTCTCTTGCCAAAGTACTTTGTCACAAATCCCTCCGTCCGTATCTGTCATTCCCAACACTGTTTTGAAGCCTTCCCCCGGCTCTGGCAAAAGATTCAAACCCCTGGTGATCAATAAGAAACTTGCGTCTTCTCTGGCGGTCAAACCAAACCCTCCCCAGGTGTCTATCAGATCTTTTTCTGGACCTGCTGCTCTGGTATATCTGGACTTGTCTTCTACGTCACCAACACCGTCTCTGGACTTTATTGCCCTACCGCCGTCGATCTCTCAACGCAAGCGTGTGGATCAATGGGCCATTATACTGAGCGACCTGGACGATGCAAGCCGGCGACAATGCGCTTTTACCTCCAAGCTCTTTCGCTATGCTGGTGTGTTTACCGTTCTGCGACCCGTGCTTCTCCTCTCTGTCCTGGCGCAATAGCTAAAGCCCGTATGGTCGTCCCTAGTCTATCTTTCCGCTGGACATATCCTCCAACGAGACTTCGGCGGCCAACGATTGGACACGATATGCCAGCGGTACCCGCCAACTATGACGAACTTCTGGCCGTACCTCCGTCATCGCCAGCAAGAAGCTATTGCCATTGAGTGCGCATACACCCGCTCATTTCTCCCCCGAGCTCTCAAAGACCAGCAAATGTCCATTTGCCGACGTTTATGGGGAAGTCCTGACAACAAAAAGCAAATAGTCATAGCTATAAGGTTCGTCGATCCTAAGTCACTCGCTTATAGCTAACTGCGGCTGTCTATGAAACATTTCGTAGATTCGTGATGACTAGACTCTGGTTCGCGCTGTCCATCGGAAGCGAAGGTTCGGAAGGCTGGCTTCAAGAGACCGTCGTAGACGTCCGAGAAATCATAGCCGGCGAAATATGGAGTATAACCCTACAAGACGGCAAAGCGCGAACCCAGACACTGTACATCCTCGAAGCCACATGCGAAGTCGTCGGACACCCTCCCTCACCTAGTCGCCCTACCGCCGAAACCGCCAACAAGAGATCCACCGTCGCTTTGCGTGCTGACTGGTCCGCATATATCCACAAGCATTCCGTTCAGGGTCTCTCATCCGGAAGCAACGCGCCCTCCACGCTGATCATGTCGCATCTCAAGTGGGCGAACTTTGAGGAATACGTCTACGGTATCAGCAGGCTCTGGCTGAAACGTGTCGCGGCCGAGGGCGAGCTGGGGAAGGCGAAGCTTGTCGTTGCGCGACGGTATGTCCTTGCGTGTGTTGTGGGCAATAGGTATGCATACCTCTATTGCGCTGGCGGTATATAATGGCGACTTACATGCATCTCTAGCGTTAGCGGCTCGTGGAAGACAGCGACAAACATGGCGCAAGACTTCGCGGGGCTCCCGGAACACCAGGCGAGTCGTGCGCCGGAGCGGGATATTCCTGTGAACTTGTATCTACCAGCGTAAGTTCGATATCCACCAAGTAGCGAGCAGTGCTAATAATTATCATCCTTTCCACTAGTCATCACCACGTCGAGAGCGTACACTTCGCAACCTCGCGTGGTACGCCGCTACATCCTGCCTTGGCCGTCGTACAAACGCCCGAACGGGAGTACTTCATACTTAAAGACAACGGCATGCAGGTCGGGTGTGAGGAGGACGGCGTTGCGCCTGTCTGGATGGAAGTATTGCAATGTGATCAGACAGGTTGTTGCTCATTGGGGTTGTAGACTTCCGTCAGACCCAGGTTCACAATTACTCCCATTCTTTCATACGAGGCGATGTAGGGCAGAGAAAAATGTGTAGGGCCAAGATAAATATAGGGTATCATCAACTGAACATGGTAACCTGTAAGACAATATTCTCCATTATCCTACCCTTGCCTGTACGGTCCCGGCTCTCCTTGTGGGGAAGGAGAGGGCGATGGGGACGCAAGAGGAGCACCGAGGCCACTCTTATACATCCCAAACGGACCCACGTCCTTCCCGCCCAGCTGTCCTTTCCGCGCTCTTGCAGGCAGTCTAGGTAGAGTTGGAAGTTCCTTCGGAACTCCGGATCCGCTCGTCGCAGTGACCACCCCTTCGTGTTCTGCAACGAGCTGGCGCAACAGTCGATTCTCCAACTCAAGCCGCGCAAGTTCACACTCCCGCTCCAGTGCCCACTCTGCCGCTGCTAGCTGTGTCTCACGATCCTGTGCTTGCTGCCACGCAACTACCCTCGACTCTGCCCCCTCTGAAGGCGCTTGCGAGCTGCTCTCGGCGGTAGCATCGGTCTCGGTTTCGGCTTCATGGTCGGGATATGATTCAGATTCGTGCTCTTGCTCGAGTTCAAGGGCGTTGATGATGTGTTGGTGGGGGAGGAGTAGGCTCGAGGTGGAAGCCACGCCGTTCTCGGAAGGCGTCATAGTGGTCGGAGGCATAGACAAAGAGTCTTCGCCGCCAATCATGCGCATTAGGGCACGCAGGAGCCTTCCAACGCGCCCTAGAGAAGTGCTGAATGCCGTGTCGCGGTCTAGCTGTTTTGAGAGCTCTTCGGTCTCGCGCAGAAGTATTTTGCGCTCGTACTCGCGCATGATGGCAAGTTCACGTTGTTGTACCTCGTTCTGTACAATGTTCCAAAGTAGAATCAGAATCGGAATCATAGAATGCGAGCAAGCGACGTACAGCTCTATTCCGAAACGTTGTCATGAGATTTTCGAGTGTTTGTTCGTACTCTTTGATGAGCGCATTGAGCTGCTTGTTGTCGTTTTGCAATGCCAGATTCTCTGCCGACATTTGCATGTTCATTCGCTCCAGCTCTGCGTTATATTCATCTGTATTGCGATGCATGTTTAGCTTTGGACGTAGGTTGTAGGTATTTCATCACCTTGTGACTTGTCCTGATTGAAACTAGAGTAAACTAAGCGGACGTCATCACAGGGTAGCTAGTTACGCACCGTCTTAGTACAAACCCAGTTTGGGAGTGTATTGCCTGAGTCTATGATGTGACGGAAAACAAAGATCGTTAAGTACAATGCCGCTCTCCGTATTCGGGCACGTACCTTGACCCCGCCGGTTACAGTGTGAAGCGAGATGGATGCATTGCGATTCTGTGAAAGCTGCTCTGACAAATCGTTGAGGAGAACCCAGACACGCATCACGTCTGAGTCGGGGTTTGCTTCCATGATTGCCATGATTGCGAAAGCAGTTGCAGACACCGATAAAGCAAGGTAAGAGATGAGCAAATATCGACGACGATGGATGCGACCAAGCTTCAGGTGGTCGCGTTTAGGGAAGGTGTTCTCCTTTGACGCTTGAACGTTGTCAGTATGTTTTACAACATTATCCTTTTTATAACGGCCGATTAGCTCAGTTGGTTAGAGCGTGGTGCTAATAACGCCAAGGTCGTCGGTTCGACCCCGGCATTGGCCACTGTTTTTGCCCTTCCTGACAAGTGGAAACTGTATATCTTTTTACTTTTACCATCTTTTGATGTAACCGTGTAAATACTCCAAGTCTCAGAACGGCGGGTAGAGTTTTCCGTAGTACCTATGTGGTGACGAGAGTATAGGTCAGGGTCCCTTGGCCGCAGCGGTCTCTCATCATCGACGAAGATTGTGCAGACTCCCACGCCTTTGGTCAACGAATATTATAAAGATAGTATCATATGCGCTTAATGACGTGTATCACCAAGTCCTGGTAGCTACAATGTCACCATTGCGGGTTGTGAAGTGCTACTTCATGTATGAAAGCAAGGGGCTCTGCTCGGAAGTCGTCCAAAGTAATCGTAGTATTCGGGCCGTCTAACAACGTCATGAGCTGAGGCGACGAGGTAGAATACTGAGGCCATTGAGGCACCGAGGGTCCGTTGGGATCCAAGTTGTTGACAAAGTTGATGATGTAGTCCGTGAGGTCGGTTTGTCCGTAGGCACTGATGAGATCCGTAGAGTGGTACTTTGCACAGTAAGATTAGTTCGTGTCTGGCGCAGTAGGGTAGAGGAATCCTACCGCTCCAAGTACAGGCAATGTCTTGACTCTCTTCGATACTAAAACCTGAGGGTTAATGGTAGAATAGAGTGGGTATGTGTTATTGCTTACCGAAGGACCACGCATCCTGCTTCCCAGATCTTTCTTGCAAAATGAATCGCCTGCCCTCCTGGAAAAAGTAGTCCCCCTGTATTGATGCAAGGCGTTTGAACTGCGGGGTGAAAACATTCTCATCCCCCGTATCATAAGGTGATCCCAAACTGGGATCTTGGGGGTAAAACTCCAATAGTCGGTCAAGGTCCGAAGACGATATATTTGGCATGTAGTTGGAGACCAGATAGTCTCGCACTTCCTGCTCGGTGCTACGGTTGCGTCTGTGTCAAAATTTGTCGCGAATTTGAGGAAGGTCCTTACGTGATGTTCGACAGCGCTACAGTGAACAACGTCCCCTCATCATCGCAGTCCTAGTGATACGTCAGAATGAAAACCCGCTACCTGATAAATTGAAGTATACTTACTCCTGCAATGAATGGCACGTTTGCGACTTTGCCTTTTAGTATCAACTCCTGAGGATCATCGACGACGAAGTTTCCATCGACTCTCGGAGCCCAGACAAGGTTCAGCGACTAAGAAACACAGTTTGTCACCATTTCGTGGGATACATGCAATCAGGCCTATATACCTGTGAGCCGAAAAAGCTTGGGGAGTTATTGATGGCAGCCTGGAGTTTGTCGAGAGGCGCTTGTCGCAGACACTCCAATGTATCTGCAGAACCTTGGCAACCAGCCTGCTCTACGAGCGCATCGTAGTCTGCCTGCCCTGCTGTGATGTCAGAATGATGGGAAGGGAATCCTGACTCCATGATAGCACCACGGAAGAGACCCTCGGTGTTACCACCATTTGCAACAAGGTGCAAACCGATTGATACAGAACCAGCGGATTCACCCCATCTGCAGCGTGGAGAACGCTGAGTAGGAAATCTTGTAGAAATATATGATACGAGGGACATACATTGTGACTCGGTCCGGGTCGCCACCGAACGCGGAAATGTATTTTTGAATCCAGCGGAGGGACAGCCGTTCTAGGAAGGGTATTATCATCGAAGTGTGTGGGAATGGTGTGAGAGAAACACTCACGGTCTTGTAGACCAAGGTTCCCTACTCCGGCCTTTTTCACTTCCTCACCAGCGAGGAAACCAAATGCTGTGAGATGTACGTTAAAGTACAGTATGTGATATATGCAACTGCTGCGTCATACCATTCACACTATCATAAAGTACGTCAATACCGATGAATCCAGATACAATTATCTCATATACACTCACCGATAGTTCATGCTAACGTAGATGACAGGCAGTCCAAGCTTGACAGACTGCTGAACGATGACGCCGCCGTCGAATCTAGATGAAGCATAATGATTAACACAGTAATATCAATGGAGTGCTCTCGGTTTCCTACGTACTCAGTGGTTGCGCCCACTTCAAAAGCCCCTGTTCGATACATAAGCCGCTAGGATAAAACACAAGGCTTATTCTACTTACCACCATATATGTACTGATAAAGCGATGCAATATCAGAGTGTTTCATAGGACTGATCGGTTATGAACACGCACCGCAACGACAGGGAGCTTTGCGCCACGAGTAATATTCTCAGGCCGCCACACGTTCATAGTAAGACCTATGGACATCGCAAGTCGAGCAGAGGAATCATGATATGAGCCTGTACGTACAGTCTTCACTTTCGGTGCCTATGACTGGCGACAGCGCGGTCTCGAAGAAATCAACGGTCTCGTTAGGCATGTTGGGTGGGAAAGGGCTCGAAAATGACTGCTGTGAGCAGACAAAACCAAACTCAGTCGCATTGTGTGTCCCAGTGTAAGGGTCATTAGCGACTGTTAGTCGGAAGCGCAAATCGCCAACACTGTTATGAAAGTTAAGATTCATATAGCATGCAATATATCAGAGCAATCTTACGGAGGTTTGGCAAATGGTATCCCGAGGAACTTGTTTGTGCTCGTATTTAGGTCGCGAGCACCGATGAAAGTCCCGTGATCGAGAAGCACGGCGGGCTGAACGAGTCCTTCGGTCGGACCAATGAGAGTCTGACCTCCGGAAGCTAGCAAGGCCTGTAGAGCGAGAGTAGTAATTGCACGACCCAGACCACGGTGCATGGCGCAGATGTTGGTCCTGCGAGAGCGAGAGGGATGTTTTGGGGCCGAGAAGAGCTTGTACGCTGCAGCTTTTATGGTGTGTGCCGGAACCACGGCACGATGCCGCAACCGCTTGGTGTTGACTCAAAGCAACTCTAAGCCGACGAGCCATAATGCAACCCCCAAGTTACTCCCAGGGTACATCGGTCATATCGTTTGAGCCGTCCTGTCATCCGAAAGAGCGAACCATGTGCATGACCTAGCGCTCGCATCGTTCCGTCCCTTCTGAGCGAACAGCCATGCTTCGGAGCGCCTGCTTTGTGGCTAGTCAAGACGCTCTTCAAACTGAGTATGATCGCCATGATCTTGTTGACCGCGATGCCCTCGGAGCGATCTGCACCGCACAGGATGAGTCTGCCATGCATTCAAGATTGAGTGACTGTGTAGGACTGGCGGCACCGAGAACGACGACACGAGGTGGTTCATCGGGCCCGTAGAGGTCGCGTCGGTAGCGGTAGTGTAGAATGACTCTGGGCATAACAACACTCATTCAGCTTCAAAACCGAACGAGAGGATGAAGCATCGTTACCTCCCATCAAAACAGTGGAAACTCGGATTTCCCTTCTTTAGCTGCTTCACGGTCCAGCGACATATATGAACGGAATAGAGATAACTTCTAAGAGCTATGCATTTTTATCTCACCACGGTATTAGGGCCGCGGGAAAAGCATACGCAGGTGTGTATCGAGATAGAATAGCTTTCGCAAGGCGAAAATACAATTACGGGTGAACAGTCTCGCACAAACCTGAGGTATCGTGTTTTGTTGAAGTAGTAGGAATGAACCTATCAAATCAGACATACTGCTCTCAGTTCATCACAGAATTAGGAGAGTTAATCAAGGACTAGTACTCACCTTCGACCTGATCCACTGATGAGACTAGTAAGACATGTTATTCTGTCAGAAACCCATTAGCATCTCACTGAGTAGGTGTAAGTATTACATATAACGGTGCGAGACGAAGAAGATCACTCAGGTACGAGATACTTGTAGCCAATGCTGAATTGTATGGACTTCATGACGACAATAACAACGAAAGTCACTTGAAGTTTGGTCTCTGGAGATAATGAACGACTCAAAGCCTCGTGACAAGATGTTGAATTAGTCATAAACATTGCGTTTTACTTTCAGTACAATCCGATATGGTGTAGTGGCTAACATTATCGCCTCTCACGCGATAGCCCGGGGTTCGATTCCCCGTGTCGGAACTTTTTGGTGGCTTTGTTTCACGCTACAAAGTTTTTTTAGGATACAATTTAGATCAGAAGCTTCACAATGCACAAGAATTTTGACTGTCTTAATGCGTCATGCGCAACCTTTGCTAAACTTTTCCTCGATTTGTACTGAGCAAACGTCCAACTCGTTTACCGTGTTGACGCCGACGACGCGGTCACTGGGCAATTATGATCGCGACGCGATGACTGTTTGGCCCTATTTGTTTGCACTTGTCTACGCGTTAGACGCCTGTATGGTGAGACGGCCGTCGACGACGCCCGCGACGCTCTCGCCACCACCACTCATATCCTCAGCCTCAGCGACCCCCCGCTCTCTTCTTCGTACGTCGCCGACCTGGTTCAGGTGCTTGGGCACTTTATCTTTGATACCCGAAACGCAGCAGGAGATGAGTCTTCCAACACCCCCGGGCACGTCCCACCGAGGCAAGGAGAATCGGCGACTCTCTTTTCCTGAACCTGGTCCATCGCGAGTCGTATGGTCAGAGACTAACAAGATATACACCGTCACCGAGACGCCACTGCGCCGCACTCCTTTCCAGAGAAGCGCATCCAAAAATGGGCCTGCGAAGTCAATTCTCAAGAAAACCAATTGGGACGAGCTGCCTCCTTTGGAAGAGGAAAGGGAGATTACGCCAGAACCGTCGGACCCTTTGGCTAATCTCAACTATCTCTCAAACCCCGTGTCGAAAATCATAGCTGTGGAGGCGTCGTTACGGGATCTTATTGAGGCTTACAACGTCCTTGCTGCCCGCCTCCGCGCGTGCGTTACTGGAACAACAGATGCCGATGCGTCGTGGCCCCTCTTCCAACCCCTGCGGAGACATAGCGAAGCGCTGGTTGAATCGATGGTTCGTGACTTGGGTCGCGCATTGGAGGATCCGAAAGCTACTCTCAAGCTAGCGCCCGAACACGATACTGAGAATATCGATCCCGAACTGCTAGCGTCATGTCTTCCTTCTCCGAAACCCAGCCCGAAGAAAAAGAAGGGCGTGTCTGGAGAGGA